AATAGGAAAGTAAAAGAAGGAAAAGTAAGAGGAAAATGTGAAGATAATGAAGCCGTCAACCTGATCTTGGATGTTAAGATGAAAGAGATGTTTTCATCAATATCATCTTCTCTCTTCTCCTCTTCATATCTACTCTTCTTGACGGTTCCTGAACAGAAATTATCATCACAAACTGAGGTGTGCTTTTCTGTTTCTCTTTTTTTCCTCTCTCTCTTTTTCTAGTTTCTATTTCTCTTTCAATTTCTCCTCCCTTCTCACCCTCCTCTTCATCATCATAATTATCATCATCATCATCAACAACAACAACATTATCATCATCATTATCAACATTTCTCTCATCTCTTCACGCAATATATTATCAAACACTATAAGAAAGAAGAAAAAGATTCCTAACATTTCTCGTTTTTTTTCTCTTACCTTACAATCTATATTATAATGTGTTGCTTTTACCTTTGTTTATCAACCCTCAGGCTATCATTCATATATCATTGAGATATTTTGATTCGTAACATCTCAATCAACAACGTGATTAAACGAACAACTCAATTATTTTCTTTGTAATTTCATCTTGTTCATTAGCCGTTAGAATCCTCTACTTTTATCATCATCCTTATAATCATCTTCACCAATCTGAGAGCATCACAATTACCACCAGAATGATCAACATTCATCCCTTTAATAATCATCTCAATTTTAAAATTAATATGTAATTATAGTTGCTTCTTCTTTCACCTTTCATTCAACCCTGAAACTTCACTAAAATGTCACATTAATCAACATAAATTTTCAATTAATACACAATCAATTGATACAATTGGATCCTTTAATTTAAGGCAACATTTTACATAAATTTACATTTGATCAAACAAGAAAAAACTATCTTTTGAAATTGACCGATCAAATTAAATTGATCTGATTTTCAGCTAGTAATAACTATTGATGGTTGAATGATTTTCATGTTTAATTTCATGCAGCGGAAGAGTATTGATATTCAGAGAGCTTTTGTATTAAATGATGAAAATTTTCCAGAAAAAGGTACAAAATTATTGAGATAAATATAGAGATGCATGAAATCAATTTGATGCAAATCATGTTTTTTATTATCAAATGAATTGCTCGTAATCAGTGAACTTTTTTTCATAGGAAAATGTAAAATTATTGTTTGAAAATCGTGTTTTCACTTGCAATTCAAAGGGAAAGTTTACTTGATTGATTGGTACAGAATCAACTTTCATCTAATTTTTGGTGATTTTGCATTTTAACATGAAAAACCAACCAGAAATTGAAAAGATTGAGATTAAAAGATTTAAAAGTAACAAGGAAAACATTTGTCATGGAAATGTTGAAAGGCGATAAACGATTTTGAGATTGAAAATTAATGAATCGCATAAAAATTGGTTTATTATTTTAACCTAAAGTTAGTAGTGACAAAAAACTGACAAACATAAATATCCATAAAATACAGGTAAACGTTACAATTGCATTGTCAACAAATGTCTTATTTAACTGACGATTGTGAGATTAGCTACACAAAAGGTAAGCGTGATGCTGAATTATGTGCTTAAATAAATACAATTGATACAAGAGAGGAAAAAAAAGAGATGCAAAAAAGGCCTAATATCTTTAGGTGAACATAAAGGTAGGCTGACAAGTTTGTCGGGCTTGTTTACCTGTTTATCTAGAAAGCGCAAATGAAATGCAAACTGGTCTAATTGGTTATAAAAAGCCACATATATAGTAAAAATTACACACAACTTGATAGCTAAGGTGATACACAAGGTAATTGACAAAAGATATGAGAGAATGAAAAAGAAGAAGAAGGAAAAGGAAGAAAAAAAATGTTCATTTTCACCGGCATTTCCATCATTTTCACCATCAAAATCAACTTTTTGTTCGTACTTATCTTGGTATTTCATTTTCTTCTTTTTTTCTTCTTCTTCTTTTCTCTTCTCGCATTTTTGCTCAACAATGGAACCGAAAAATAGACCAGGTAATTCTGCGTTTTTGTTGTTACTGGTTTTGACTTTTTGCTGATTACCAGCTAAAGCAATCATAGATTTGTGCGATCAACAGACAAGCTTCACTTCACACCAAGGGGCTTACCTTTGATAGCCTCCAATGGTGCAAACTAAAACTTCAGGTTAAAACTTATTATCTTTTCCTCTTCTCTTCAGAAGAGAGAGGAAGATATGAAGAGGAATGTCTTCATTAACATGACAGTTAAGTGTTCATTTTGGAAACTATGAGAAAAGTGAATCCAAGAACTGATTATTATTTCCATCGATAATCACGCATCTATCAAATTACATGGCATAATCACTGTAAATCAGTGCCAAGTTAATAATTAGACAATAATGCAAATTGACTGTAATTTTGGCACTTTCACTTGAAAATGATATCGATAATTTGATATTTTTCACTTGAACAGTCAACAGTTTTACCTCAACTTGTAAGCAACATTTTTTAGGTTCAACTTGAATCACAATAAAAGCTTCATTGAAATGAAATGTTTAAATTTTGTTTCAACTTTCATAATTGTAACTCGGTAGGCAAGATAATTGATGGTCGAGTGTAAATTTCATAATATATGGAAATTCATCATTTCCATGCAAGGTTATGCAAGGTATTTAGTGTTCATTTCAACAGGTTAAAAACACATGAAATACACCAAAAACCTTGACAATCAAATACAAATATCAAGTTTGCTATTTGAGTACAATCATCTCTTTTAGCACTTTTTTTCACTGAAGGTTAAATGAAATTTTTTCAACTTTTTTTGCTTCTCTTCAACCTTTTTATTTGCTTCTTCATCTACTTTTACTACTATTTCGGTTACCTTATTATTAACTTTTATTAAAGTGTTTTACCTTTGAATTAACCACTTCGTGTACTTGAAAAACTGCACTAATCTGTTTTAACCTGGAAAAAAAGTTGAAGAGCATTTCGAGTTGGTAAACCATAATCATTAACATCTCTCTATGAAATGCATATCTTTTTATTGACCCCTTTTTTGACTAGTTATTACCTTTTATTTTCAATTGCAAATTGAGACACAGTTTCAACATGATTAAACGTTTAAATGAGTTGTTAAAAAATCATATTAATAAGTCAAATTTAAGCTCATTTTAAGTGGCAGTCATAAATAACTAGCCCAACAAATTTGGGAAAATGTAAAGGTAAGCTAAACATGGATAAAGTGAAGGGAAAAGTAAAGGTAAAAACGGCAGAAATGAAAGTCCACTTTTTTTGCGATAATCAAAGGAAAAAAAGGTAAATTGAGAATAAAGTAAATCACAATTATCATTGGAGAGTAATGTTATGAAAATGATTTCATTATTTGACTATGGATTAATTCAAGGGCGGCTTAAGAGGTAATCAATGTTATCTCATTTTTTTGGTTACTTGGTCAATTCACAATTCAAGTGGAAGAAATATAATAATAATGTTAACAGCACAAGAAGTTGGCGAAAGATTCAACTATTATAATAAAGATAATAACAAGGTAACCGAAAAGGTAGAAGGGGCAAAAAAATCTCACTTAACCTTCACAGAGACTGTAATCCAGGTTAGACCAAACCCTATCATAGATTTTGTATTTTGTATTGTCAAGGCTTTTTTTTACCTGGCCGCGCTTCTTGAAGAGTAAAAAAATGCTCACAATTTGAATAGATTTGAATAGGTGAAAGCAAAAACAAAAATACCTTCTTCTTAATGGCAATGGTAATGGCAAGATTGATAGCAATAACAATGGTACACAGTTGATTTACCTTTCAATGTATTGTAAATGATCACAATTACCACCAGCATGATCAACATTCATTTGATAATCTTCTCAATTTGGAAATTAATATTCTTGATTCTGTTCAATTGTTCACAATCTCAACTTTTTATTTCTTCACAGACAACCTTTTAGTTTTACACCAAAAGTATGCAAAAAATTAGTAAACTGATAGCTTTAATTGAACACTCTGGGTAAATTGGAAAGACTGTACATTTTTGATAATGATAATGTTATTTAAAAGTTGTTTTAAGTTTCAGGAAACATTCATTAGCCATGTAATGAATGTTATCGCAACTTTCAATAATTGATCATTACCAGTTTTAATTGAATTTCAGTGTAAACATTTGAAAGCATTAACCATTAAAAAACAAGTTTGTTTTGATTGGTTTTCAATTTTCAAAACTGTCTAGGTTAATCCATGGAAGTATTTAAGAAGAAGAAGACAAAAACTTGATTCAATTGAAAACCATCATTACATGGTAATAATCAAAGTGAAATTGGGTGATAACAATTTAAACGGTCCAACAGAGTTGAATAAAAATCAGTAAAGCTGAAAAATAATGACAACTAAAATTGAAATCAACTAAATCTGTGAATGTGAAACTTGGGGAAAAAAAGTTAGGCTTTTCACCTTTCATTCAACCCTGAAAATTCAGTAAATGTCACATTAAAATCTGCTTAATCAACACTAGCTTTCGTTCACTTCAAAGTCAATTGATACAATAAAATACATAACTTTTGAAAGATCTCGTCTATTAAACAAGAAATAAAATTACCTTCAATATCAAAATAATCTAATTTTTGAGTTAGTAAATAATAAAAATGAATTGTTAAATAATAGGTTTTTATGATTAATTTCATGCACTGGATGAGGTATTGATATTCAACCCATTTTTGTATTTCAAAAGGATGAAGTTTTACAGAAAAAAAATTACAAAATTATTATTGGGATAAATATAGAGATGCATGAAATCAATTTGAAGCAAATCATGTTTTTTGATCCAATTTTTTTCCGTTAAATTACATAGACTAAATGAACTATATGCATAAGCAAACATAAGCTGTATAAATATCATAAGACAATAGCATATCAATTGGTTTGATGATGAGATGACCTCTGATTGTACCAGATACGAAGTAAATGAAAGAAGCAGAAGCAAAAAGTGAGAGAAAAATTGGAAAAGCAGGAAATTTAAAAGAGCGAAAAAGATGGACTTACTTGCTGAAAGATGACCATAAGAACCACTTGTGCTTGATGATCGAGATCCATTCACAAGAGAAAACAGTGAATTTGGAGAAAAACGAATTAATGAGTTTATATCAAAATCGGAACCGTAAGGTGAAAGGGCTCTTTTCCTTCCATTTGTTCCATAGCCGGATGAATATGCCGCTGCAGCGGCTGCAAATGAAGCTGCATTCGTTGCTTCGGCGGTTGCTGCAGCAAAATGATGATTAATTTCTGAAGTTCCAGCATGAAAAGGATATAATCCATGGTAAGGGTAAGATGATCCAGATAATGGTGGATAATGATGAGGCGGAGGTGGAGCTGCTGCCCAAACATAGTGTCCCTCATGAGTACGAGAGGAGACTGTCAGCCCATGAGGCCACATAATTAGACAAAAAAAAGTTAATTACAAAAAAGGAACCAAAAGAAATAAAAAATAAAATAAGAAATTAAGTAAAAAAAGGAAAAAAAGTTAAACTTAAGTTGCTAGTTTGAACTTTGAAAACCTTATGACTTCATTTCGGTACAAGACAAGAAGCTAGAAGTAAGAAAATTTCATCCACAAACTGCATAAGAAAACGGTAAACAGAGCGCCACCTGTTGATGACCGATTACACTAATTTAATGAAACATTCATCGAGCAATAAGTTGATATTTAGATTTCAGAACCATCGAGATTTCAGATGTCGGTGAGCGTGTTGATGGTGGGGCCGGAGGAGGCGGAGGTGGTACAGTCAAAACGGGTATAGAATAGGCATTATAATAGATATTGAAGTCACTTTTGGTCTGGAGCGAGGTACAACAGACTCAATGGAAACTACTTTGGGTGTACATTGTTGTTGGTGTGGTGGTATGGGCGGTGGAGCTCCGGTTAGTAGAGTTGATGTCGATGGTGCAAGTTGAGAGGAGCTGTTTTGGTTAATCGATATGATGGTGGGACCGAAAACTTTTACGAGTTTTCGATCCAAGCTCGAGTACAATTGTGATGTATCCTGGTTAAAAGGCATGCATCTATCGCGATTTGAAAGACGAAACGCCATAAAAGACACTTGGAAAATGTCCGGCCTAGTATCCGGATCTGGTTCTAACATGTAACGAATGAGAGAATGTAGACTGGTAGAATAAGGTGAATTATCTGGTATGGTGAAGAAGCCATTTTGAATGGCTAATGTTGATTCACCAAAGGGCAGAGAAAAAAAGCAAAGTTTATACAATAAGCATCCAAGGGCCCAGATATCTGATTTTGTCGTGATTGCTTTACCACAATACAAATCAACCATTTCAGGTGATCTAAAGCTGGTATAGCTTCGGTTTAGAGATGGGCGATTCTAGATTAATTAGGTAATTGACATTTTTGTCGATTAGTTCGAAAGAATCAGTTACAATCGATGTTCAATAAAATAAAACATTAATTCAGCAATAATTTCCTGCTTTACAAATTACTCTTCTGCATGGCCCTGAAATATCTGGTAGAGTTAAATATTTTGATTCTGATTTGTTATAATTGTGCCGTTTTTGCTAACATTTTTTTCCGTAAACATGTTCAATTTGTTTGAAGATTATCGATTATCTAACCGAACGAATACCATGAACCAATCGATTTTCAGAAAAAAGATTCAGAATCGATGGAATCCAGATAATCGCCCATCTCTACTCTGTTTGGTAAAGATGATGTCGATGATGGTGCAAGTTGAGCTGTTTGGTTAATCGATATGATTGTGTGAACGAAAACGTTCACCAGTTTTCGACCAAAACTCGAGTATAATTGTCATGTAATCTTATTAAAGATCATGCAGTCAAAGAGAAAGAGAGAAAAAGAAAGGAAAGAAAGAAAGAAAGAAATGCAAGTGAATTGAAAAAATGGAGAAATAAGTTTTTTTCAGTTTATCTCATCTCATTATGTTATTTGAATGTGATGATTGAACATGTTTTCATCAAGAATATTCCGTTCTTTCATAATGATCAGAATTTGTAAATATGATTATCATTTTTAATGAACAATTTAATTTGAGGATTGTAAAGTTGAAAAGCATGTTTAACTGAATCAAAATTTAGCATTTTATAATGATGGAGTTGGCGCAAATTGAAGGACAAATTTCATCTTGAAAACAATTGAAATAATTGAATCAAATTTTACTAAATTAATTACACTTGAAGAGGGGGAAGAAAATTTTCCGGTTTACCTGAGTTAAGCGCGATTCAACGATACAGGTCAATACGGTAGATTAAACCTGGCAAAATGAAGGAAAAAGCAGGAACACATAATGACAATGAGGACAATAGAGGGAAGCAGCTGCAATTTTATTTGGTCTACATTTTTTTTTCCAGTTCTTTTGGTTGAGGTGAAAATGAAAATTCATTCAACAAAAACATCAACATCATCAACAGCTGCATAGTCAGCAGCTACTTTTATCATGACCATTTAAAATATATCTAGTCTTATGTACAGTTTCATCTCTTTCATCCTTCATCAATGTCGCATTCACCAGTATCAACACAAACCTCAACTCGACCACCATCAAGAGTGTCATGTGAATTCGATTCCTGGTACCAAGAATTGGGTATTCACTCAATTGAGGATATACCAGCAAGGTGTTCAAGCCTCATCGAATGGACAAAGACAAAGCCCTTGTTCATCTTACAATTGGATCCAGTGGATAGAGCTATCCTCAGAATTGCAGGTAAATTATTCACAAAACAGTTAATTTTAACACCATTCTAATTTGATAACCCGATAATAGATGGCATAACCATTGCTTACCCATTCAACACTAAACATGACAAACCAGCAACTATCATATGATAATTGTTGCTTTACATACAATTACAGGGCTTTTCAACCCAGTCCATTGACTTTTAATGTGAAATGATCAACAAAATTGGTTAAAAATTACCTTTTTATTGCCAATTTTTACCGCATCTTTAGTTTAAATGAAATGACAAATGAAATGATTTCCCATTGGTGTAAAATCTGTGCTTTTTTTAGTGAAAAATGTGACTTGAAAATGAAAAGCTCTGTACATTTATTTTATCTGTATCTTTATCATTATTTAATTTCATCTAACCACACCAAAAAGTGTCTAGTTTCATGTAAAATATTTAAGAATCAATCATGTCTAATATTACCAGGAAGCTTCTGAAAAAGAAGCATAACCAAAATAAAAGTTACATGCAATAAATTGGCATTAATTTTCAGGTAAACAAGTTGATTGCCTTTACTTTGGTACACTTGACTGATTCACCTTTTGTTTGACTGTTTATTTAAAATAATACACCTTATTACAGGTGATGATCACTGATGTACTTCTTTTGTTTTGCTAATAATTCTTAAGTATTTTACCTTTACAATTGTCCTTTACATTGACATAATTGTAATCGTTCTGAGACTTTGGTCATTATTTGAATTACCGATTGTTCATAAAATGTTACTCCTTTCCGTTGGACTTTCCCAGTTTCATTGTTGATTGTTGATTCTCCAAAAAATGTAATCTTAAATTTAGTTGAAACAGCTTTACCTCAATTTCAGGCTTGTTTAAAAAGCTATTGACAATATTTTTCACCTTAGTCTATCATGTAAATATACTTGAACCTTTTCCCCAAGAAAAAAGCAAATTAACTTTCTTTATGTTTTATTGCATAAAGTTGATAAATTTGTTCATTTCTGCTTTTCCCAATTAAACCTTTTTACAGGGCAATCAATTGTTGAACGTTAAAATGTGGCAAGTTAATTTACAATTTGACACCATTGAATTGTTTCCTGTCAATGCTTTACTCATTCAAGCTCAACAAGTCAAACGATCTTATGTTTTGATCTCTTTGGTTTTTAATATCGTTGCGGTAATTTGATCATGTAAACTTATGCTCATTTCATGAGATGAGGAAACTCATATTTGTAACTAGAGGCAACAACAGCAAAAAAAACTTCAATGTTTGCTAACCATTAACCATTAACTATTTTGTTACCTTTCAAAGTTAAACTTAACCTCAATCTAATTGTAATCTTAATTTTCAAGTATTACAATTAGTATGTTTAGTGTTAAGTTGATCAACTGTCACCTTTTACCACCTAATATCAAGGTAATAATTCATTGGTGAGGCGAAAATTAATTTGCTTGCCGGAGACGTTCACTTGAACTGTTACTTCAACTTAACTATGACAGGTAAAGTTGAAAGTAAAATAATCTTTCATGCCGGCTCAATGTCTAGACAAATTTGAAAAATTAGACTTGATTTAACGGAAATTTTCTTGGCTTTCATTTTATATGAGTTTCAAAGCTCTATTTGGCCAATATGGTTCTTAGTGCTAGTGTAAGTTAATAGTTTGTCAGAGGCCAAAGTTGGTTTATCCAAATGTTCAATTGCAGCTTAGTGATATCAATCCGAGGTCAGTCTACAGAGTTGGTGCAAAGGTCAGAAAATGAGACTAACTACAATAATTGTGAACCGACGAAGAGGAAGCAGCAGAGGTTGAAGTGTTTTAACTAGCAAAAGGATTTAACGGCTATCAACGAGAATCGACAGCAAAATTTGACATTTCATTGACCAGAAATTACCAAGAAAATTGAAGATTGGGAAAGGATTTAAGCACCCAATTCAAGTCCAATTTACTGTCCAACTTTACCTTGCCTTAAAAAATTGCCAGATGAAATAGACTGAACATTGTAACCACTTGATCACCCAAAATAACCGTTCAATATTAATAGATAGAAGTGAGTTTCAGAGTCTTTATCACGATGATGAAACAGAAAAGAAACAAACAAACAACAATCATCCATGATATGCAAGTCATGATCATTCATCTGAATGTGAATCATTTTTCATCATTTCTCAATTGTTACTCATTCAATATGAACCTTACTCATTTTAAGCAAACAAATCTTTTATTTCTAGCCAAGCTAATTTTTATGAGCATTAGCAATCAATAGCAATGATTGAAAATTCATCTTGAAAACAAAATAAACCTGAGGAATCAGATACAAACAAAATGTTGACTTGTCAAACAGTGAAATTGATATTGAAAAGGTCAAAAGAGTTTACTCTTTTTTCAATCCAATTTTTTCACTCTCATGCTAATCAACTCAATCTTATTTCAAATAAATCACTTTGTATAACACAATTAGATAAGATTAAGCATTTAAAACTCAAGTGAACCTCCAGCTCAAAAAACAAGTGTCTGAATCTCAGCAATAGTAAAAAACGGTAGCTTGATTGATGTAAATCAAAGCAAATGTTTACAGCGATTACAATCAAATTTTTTTGCCAACAAACATTTTGGCAAAACTTTGATAGTCAAATTAAGTACAAGATTAAAGATAATTGCAAATAATTGATTAAAAGATACAATATGACAATTCGTTCATCTGATTAATCCATTTCATTTGAACGTTTTGTTATATGTAACAAAAGGCTTTTATCAAATTTCTTATGCTTCATCATCTCTCAGCTAATTTCTGTTCATTTACCTGAATTACCGTGAAATAACTTTCCATGATGAATCTCATTTTACCTTGCTTACCCTACACTC